CCGCAGCTTGCTCTAGAAGCGTTCCAGTGCGGTTTCCAGGATGTTTATAGGGATCGGCGATAAAAAGTAGCTGTTTGGTGCTGCGCTTGTTCGGTAGGCGTACCAGATGTGCGGTTAACTTGCGGTGTTGTGCCACCACAAATTCGTGAAGAGACGACACTCCTGTGCTTTCGTAAGCCTCAACGTCTGACACGTACGCGTATGTCAGTCATGAATGAATGCCCGAATAAAAAACATGCTTGTGTGGAGCGCTATTTGGTACGTTTCATCTCGCCAAATTTGTGTTTGGCCGGTTGGATGCGCATAACGATCTGTCCAAACCGTCTCTAGCAACACCTTCGCATCAAGGTGAACAAAAAGGCGAATGCACATACCTTACCAGTTCGAAAGAACATAGTGAACATAGTGGATGCGCCACTTGCGGAGACAAGTTAAGAAACCAAACCTCCCAACCCAGACCAGACTGAGGGCATTAACATTTCCGAAATCATCCGCCATGATTTTTACACCTTGTGTGTATACAAGCAGAATGACTGACAAAGTGAGAAGTTCCAAGTGGTATATGTTCCAGGACCAGCTATCGCTGGGCTCCCTACAAGCCGCACCCTACGAGCCATACCCTACACTTGGTGACATCCCACACTGGCATACAACAAGAACCAAAGGGCTGACGCTAACACTCCGGTAAGAGACATACAAGACCTGAAGGACCGGCTCCCAATGCCGTTTGATACCTTCGACAACTTAGACGCGTGCTTGCCTGCCCCTCAAGCCAGATACTTAATCCCACATAAATCTGGGTCATACGAAGAAAGACTTGGTCATACGAAGAGTCTTCAATCACACGGACTGGTGAAACTCAATCACAGCAACTGCTAAAAAAGACGGCCCATTCAGGTTGTGTCTAGATCTAGTGTAAGAGTCGAGGTACTTCGAGTACTTTTGGGGCCGAGTCCGAGTACAATACCAAAAATGTACATTTATTTTAAAGAAATTAATACATACATCTTATTAAGTAAAAACAAACACAACATGTAATCCACTCTTCTTTACCAACTCGTTAACACTAAACACACTTCCACCGACAACTACCGGGTGTCAACTACCTTGAAACAGCGCAAGAGCCGGCGAGTGCCTCCAGTAACAGTCACCCATCTGGACTTCGCCGATGACATAGTATTAATCTCAAACACTGTGGAACAGACTCGTACCCTTCTCCTCTCGGTGGAGGAAGAATGTTTGAAGATGGGATTACATCTGAACGCTGGGAAGACCAAGTGCTGGCATACAACACGACTGACGCTACCGTCCACACCCGAGACGGCACGCTGCTGAAGATCGTGTCCGATTTCAAATATCTTTGAGCGTATGTCGACTCAAGCGGGAAAGACATCAAAACCAGACGAGGATTGGCGTGGTCAGCACTTCACAGCATGACAAATGTATGGACGTCAGCCATCAGTACAAATCTCAAAAGGTCGCTCTTCATCTCCACGATTTAGTCCGTCATGGTGCATAGATGTGGACCCTCACAACCAAGGAGGAGAAGTCAACTGGATGGATGCTACACTTGCATAGAGCCCTCAACTTATCGTGGCAGGATCGTATGATAAATTATGAATGATGACCCCTACAACGGCATGCAGAAAGTGACTCACAAGATCAGACAGCGTCGTCTTAATCTCGCTGGCCACTGCCTCCGCCACCCTGAGCTTGCTGCCCACCCAACCATACTGTGGGAGCCCATCCAGGGCACTGCATTAAGAGGGAGAAGAAGTCTGACCTTTGTTGACCAGCTCAAGAAGGACACTGATCTCACATCTGCAGAGGAGCTGCGCACCTGCATGGTAGATCGAGACAGCTGGAGGAAGAGGACTCAGGGACTGGTTCGTGATGTCGTCACTACCCACGCGATCCCGACATGATGAACACTAAACAACTGTTATTAGTGTAAACAATGTAAAAACATCAATAATAAAACAAAATTCATCAAATCGATGAATGAACTGGCACTTTGTTTTCACCGTTTCTTAAAAAAGAAGGGAAATCATGGATAGCTGGGTAGACACCGGAAGTATTGCCTATTTTGGAAACCTTTTCCAGACAACAAGAAACACCTAAAATTAACAAAACTAACCAAAAAAAGAGACTTTAATTGCTGGTTGTTTGTTATTATATACTGAAAAGCCTTGAAGCGACGAGCGACTTAGGAAGTATGAGCTTGGCTGGCGACCGATTCACGAAACCTCAGTGCTACGACTTCGAATGTTAGTAACATTGGGAGGCAGAAACTAGATTAAGCCGTAATACAGACTGCAACCGAGCCATCGTGCTAGCATTGCGTTCTTGGTAGAGCAATGGAATCGATTAAAAAGAAATGTACTCGATGTGTACTCACGAGTACTGGGGTCGAGCACCGAGTACTAAACCGTCGAGTCCGTACGAAATTCGAGTACGAAGAATTGAGTACGGGCCAAATCCAATTTTGGACGGGCCGACTACTTTTGTGTCCTCGAGTATGAGTACTCCAACACTGTCTAAGTCCCAATCAGCTCAACACATGCCTTAAAGTTATCCACACAAGACCTCCACTCTTGGGGAGCTCAAGCCAGAATTTGCACAGGCAAAGATCGTCTACAAGCTAGACGTCAAAAGAAAGGTATTGATCTGCCCATCTCGAGGAGTCTGAAGAGCTGAAAACATACACAATACCATTTGGTTGCAACGGCTTTCGTCGCCCATCCTTCGGCTTATAAGTAAGCATGGACGATAGTCCAACAAAATATGGTGAAACTTGGTATGTTGGTAAGCCGGGATGTGTTATTAGTAAACACTGAAGTGACGTCAGGATGACGTCATCATGTGATTTTATACATATTTTTGAATTTTGAAGATTATCAATATATCTCTCGAACCTAACATGCTAAATCCAAAATTCTTTTTTTTGAGAAGTTTATATGGTAATAGATGTCTGTACAAACTTTTGACATCATGATGACATCTACATTTTTTTTCAAAAATTATATAAGTGTTAGTCTGATTGCCCTGAAACTTGGTGGGTAGGTAGATACCGTTGATCAAATGAAAAAAAGTAAAGTCATGATGACGTCATCAACTGCTGTATTAACTTTAAAAATTTTTATACTTTCTTCTACAAGCAAAATGTGACATAAATTGCAATCAAAGTGACTTCAAACTTGAACTACGCAAAGACATAGACCCCGTGGTTAGTTTGGCCCTATACAAGTAACGTCATGACGATTCATCAATGTCTTATGACGTCACCTTAAAGGTGTCTATTGTAAGAGTTTATATCTAGAGAACTGTGAGTCCGATTGGGTTAGAACTTGGTATGTTCACAGATATGGACGTGTAACAGACCAAAACAATATATGTCATGACTTCGTCATCATGGGTCTTGATACGTCATTAAATTTTAAGGTCCTATATCTGGAGAACTCCAAGAACAGCTTAGTATTGTCATGGAACTATGTTCAAAACAAAATATGTTCAAACAGTATACCACCCTCCCCATGCCCCCCCCCCAAATGTATTAACACTTGATTTAAGATATTGTAACGAAAATGCAAGGCATAATTAGTTTCCAGTAAGCACACTTTATTCTTCACTCTGATAAAATACAGGTTCTTTTCAAAAACGTAATTGATAAGACTTATGGAAGATAAGAAGATAAGTTTAAAGTTATCAACTTGTATTTCAATGAGAAGAATTCATGCCAATACAGTTGACTGTATATTGATAATAGGGCCTATGATAAATTAATGGTAGAATAACTGTGAAATGAGATGACTTATACAAGTTTAATTCATCGAAGCTTTCTAGGTCAAGACGCTGTGATTATTGTGAATAAGAATAATATTTGGCGCAGTGGTTTATGACCAATCAGGGCATTGAAAGAGACATTTTGTCATGATGAGCTAGCTCCTTGCGCTATGTACGCGCCCAGACGCTATAAAAGACGAGCCAAGTCAGGGCTCGGCATTCAGATCGTGATTGGTTCTGGTCCGGTGAGTGTCGTATGTCCATACATTTATGATACTTCTGTGAGGGACACCAACTACACGTTCCATGAGTTACAGTGTGTATTAAAATGGCGGCGCCCGAGCCACAAGTTATTGTGAAGACTCGTTGAGTTCGTTCCATTATTTACTGGTTTGAAAGGACCAATAAACACAACATAGTGACAGCTGTGGTTCCAGTAAATGTTTGCGGACATAATAAGTGGCATTTTGAGACTGTATCACGTAAGGTAGTTGGACATTTTGTGGCAAACAAACCGTTAATTTTCGTCCGATTCGCCACGTACGTACGTGCGTCTAACGTACATTGATCATGTCGCAGTCACAGGGGGCGCCCTATAGTTTAGCTTTGATCGGACGGCTCGATCCATACGACCAAGTATGGAAATCACCAACTACCTCGAACGATTGGACCTTTATTTCAAGGCCAATGACATTTCTCCGGCCAAGCAGTCTGCTGTTCTGCTGAGTTGTATCGGAGCAAATGTGTACAAAACTGTGTAAAGAGCCTTTATGAACCTGTGGCAGCCACTGAAAAGACTTACGCTGAACTGTTTGCTCTGCTCAAATCGCACTACGGACCCAAACGACTGGTGATTGCTGAACGATTCCGAATTTATCAGCGCAATCAAAATGCTGGTGAGACTGTAGCACAGTATTCTGTGGAATTGCAAACCTTGGCTGGACCGTGTTAATTCGGTTCTTTTCTTGATGATTCCCTCCGCGACCGGCTAGTTTGCGGAATACGCAGTTTGTTCATCCAGAAACACTTGGTCACTAAAGATGGCCTGACATTCTCCCAAGCCATTGAACTTGCCAAAACGCTTGAAACAGCCACAAAGGATCAGCAGGACATTAAGGCCACAACAATCGGCCAGACCAGACTCATAATCCAAATCAAGGGCAAAGCTCAAAGCTTGCTGTCCCTCATCCTGCCTCAGAGACCAGTCATAGGCAAGCATGCCTGTGACTCGCTCGGATTGGTCCACAGAGTCTACACTCTACCCAGCCATGAGAGTGTTTTTGAATGGGGTGGATGTCTGCATGGACAAGCAGTTTGCAACAAGGTAGACGAAGCCACCACCCCTTACTGCGTCATGACTCCTCGTCGTATCCCAATTCCTCTCATGCCCCAACTGAAAAAGGAGCTGGAGAGGGTGGAGCAATAGAACATCATTCAGCGTATCACTGACCCCACAGATTGGTGCTCGCCTATCGTCAGGGAGAGGTTTACCATACCAACTGTCGAAGAAGTCCTCGGCATAGTCGCTGGCATCCGGATATTCTCCCTGCTAGACGCTAAACAAGGGTTCTGGCAAGTACCACTGACAGAGGAAAGCCAGAAGTTCACTACATTCATTACACCATTCGGGCGTTACTGCTTTAAACGCCTTCCATTTGGCACCACATCGGCACCAAAAATATATCAACGCATCATGTGGGTCCTTCTTACCGACATATCAGGGGTCGTGGTGTACATGGACAACGTACTGATCAACGATCACACAACAAAAGAACACGATGAAAGACTCCAGCGCGTTCTCAAAAGTGCGAAAAACGCTGGACAACGGCTGAACAAGCACAAATGCAAAATTGCCCAAACAAAGGTCGACTTCCTTGGTATGAAGCTCGATAAAGACGGCATCCATGCCGACCCTGCAAAGATAGCCGCGATCATCCAAATGCCACCACCCACCACCAAAACCGAAGTCAAACGACTAATGGGAATGATCAATTGGCTCGCGCGGTTCATTCCCCATGTCTCCTCAGTCGCTGCACCAATAAATGACCTACTGAAGAGTGATGTCCGCTGGGTGTGGGGATCACCACAGCAGTCAGCTTTTCGCAGCATTAAGACACTCCTCACATCAGCTCCTTCACTCGCTTTCGATGATCCAAATATAAAGCTGATCATGGTTAGCGCTGATACAAGCGAATACGGACTGGGTGGATGTATTTTGCAGCAACAAGATGACAGACAGTGGAAGCCAGTGGCGTACTGCTCAATAAGCCTTACTCCATCTGAACGACGCTACACGCAGATAGAGAAAGAGCTGTTGGCTTCGTCTCATGAAGTACCACTGCACCTCAGAGTACGTACCTGGCAAACTCCTCACTGTGGCCGATTCCCTGTCTCGCGCACCCTTGAAGTCATGGGTCACTGAAAGCGACAACCTTCCAGACGAAGTTGAAGCACATGTCCACATGGTCACAAGCCACTGGCTAGTCTCCCAGGGGGAATTTGGACGAGATCAAGCGTGAAACTGCCCTCGATGAAGTGCTGGTGCAAGTCGCATCATGCATTCACAGTGGCTGGCCAAAATACTCCCGCGACATTGAACCAACAACAGTGAAGCTCTACTGGGAGAACCAAGACAACCTCAGCTTCGTCCAGGGGATCCTAAACCATGGCGACTGCATCGTCATCCCGGCAAATATGCGCCAAGAGATGCCGTTGAGGATTAATGAAGGTCACCAGGGAATATCAGAATCTAGATCCCGAGCTGCTCAAGCCGTTTGGTGGCCAGGTATTGGGAGCGACATTGCCCAGTACGTAAAGAAACGCTCCTTCTGTCAGACCAAGCAGTCAGCACAGCGAGCGGAGCCTCTAATCTCGACTCCGCTTCATGAACGACCTTTTCAACGTCTTGCCTGTGATCTGGCAGAGGTCAATGGGAGACACTACATTGTCCTAGTCGACTACTCTTCGCGATGGATTGAGGTCCATCAACTCCAGACAACAACGCCGTGGGCCGTCATTAACTTTTTGAAGGCCACTTTCGGCATACCTGAGGTTATCGTCACCGATAATGGGCCACAGTTCCTGACCGAGTTCAACCAATTTGCAAGTGAGTATGACATCCAACATCTTACATCTAGCCCCAACTGCCCTCAGGCAAATGGAATGGCCGAGAAGGTAGTCCATATTGCTAAATCGATATTCCGGCAGCCTGATCCTCTGCGAGCATTGCTGACCTACCGATCCACACCAATCTCAGGCCTCAACCTTAGAAGAAGGAGCTCGTCGTGTTCAACGTTCGTTTGCAATGTACATTGGCGCCTCGCCTCATCGTTATCCACATAAACATTAGATTATACGCATCGGGCACGGTGTGTGCCAACAGTATTGGAAGACAATAAAACCATTATTATTATTTAAAGAAGAACACGACCTCTCCAGTCAGAATTTTTGTCTAGTCTCTATAGTCGTTTAGTGCTTGAACCAGTAATTTCGCGCTCGTTACAATATCAAACTACTTTATTGTATCGAACAAGATTATATTTACCTTGTCTCTCCGACGTCAAGTTGTAATTGATATTAACTTCACCTGGACTAACAATGATAGGGTTCTGGCTACCGCTGATTGTGCCGGCGTTTCCTATGCTGGCTCCACTGCTTTGTGGGTAATCTATCAAAACAAGAATACATGTCTCGCAAACTGAATTGTACATGTGATTTAAACAAAAAAAAAATACTTATCGTACTAAAACATAATAATTTGTGATTAAAAACCAAATATTAAAAGCTTTGTACATTTAATATAAAAAGCTTAACATTAAAAGTTATGCAATTGTACAGAATTGTATCTTGTTTTAACAGATGTTCCAGTTTTATTTCCAAACATCCATTTTCCAGCAATAAACACATTGTTTATTTTTACTTTTGAATAAATCATAACAAAAAATCCACTTATATATAAAATAATTACTTCACAAATTGTTAAGCATAATACGCATGCGTTAGTTGTTAACTGAATGGTTGTCGGACTTCACCTTTCAATTAAAACAACATATCCAAATTCAACTTTCAGGGAAAATGTAAAATGTATTTCATCTATAATTGGGCATTCATAAATTACTGATAGGCCTACATCACAGACTTGTATTCGAGTCACCAAACCTCGAGTCCGAGTCCGAGTCTGAGTCACCACTACCGAGTCCGCCGAGTCCGAGTCCCGAGTCACGCATGTCGAGTCCGAGTCTGTGTCACGAGTCACAGAGGTCGAGTCCGAGTCTGAGTCACGAGTCATGCAGGTCGAGTCCGAGTCTGAGTCACGAGTCACAAAGGTCGAGTCCGAGTCTGAGTCACGAGTCACAAGGTCGAGTCCGAGTCTGAGTCACGAGTCACAAAGGTCGAGTCCGAGTCTGAGTCACGAGTTACAAAGGTCGAGTCCGAGTCTGAGTCACACAAGTCTGGAACTTGCAATTATGCGACCCTTGACCGGGCAGTTGCCGAAATGATGCCATGGTGTTTGCGGTGGACTCTGAACTATATGCAGTTACTTCAAATCAAGCCATTTTGATTCAATCACGTGATGTTTTAACGCACTCGATACTAGTCTGCAGAAGACAGCTTTGTTTCCCGCCACATTCCAGTCTTGATGAGGCAGGAACCATACAGAAGCAAGTCTACACGCAGATCGGATACACGTGTTCATGCGAAAAAAGGGAACCCAAAGGCATTTTAGGGAGATCTTCAGCCAAAAACTAGAATTTGAAAACTTGTTCTGACAAAAAAACTTTTGAACCCATTTTCAAAACCATTTCATATATCATAATAGGAGGGTGAAAATTAAAGAAACCGCAAGCTCGAAGAAGAGCACAAATATTGAAATTATAATTAATTGGATAAATCATTACCTGATCTGCTTTCGCTCTCAGTAATCCTAGCGTGAACTTCTCCTCTCGGTTTCTTTCCTTTTAGCTTGCTATGTTCTTGAGCCCCTCCCACATGAACCTCTGGTTCGGATTCGTCTCGATGAGCAACTTCCTCCTGTCTCGGTCTCTGGTCCTCGGATGATGTAGTCCAGTTCTCCTTGCTATGTTCTTCAGCCCCTCCTACCTGAACTTCTGGTTCAGTTTTGTCTCGATGAGCGACTTCCTCGTGCAGACGCAGTATCTGTTCCTTACATGATGTTCCTTTCCGTTTGCTCTCTTGTGTAGCCCCTCCCACTTGATTCTCTTTTTGAGGTTTATCTCGATGACTCTCTAATTGCACATGCCTAGGTCCATGTTCTTTTATAGACGTCACCCCCTCTTGTGCGTTCTCGAATTCTCCCAGTGTCTGCTTTCTTTGTGGAAGCTCCTGACTCAGTCTATGCTCCTCAATGGACAGTCTTGCGAGTTTGTGCTTGACGTGTTCTTCAACATCAACTCTTTGTTCATGTAACTGAGGTTTGTTTTGCTCAGAAACTTCTTCGTGTACCGGTCTCTGTTCCTCAGGTGATATAGTCCCTCTCTGCTTACTTTGTACCTTTGCCCCTCCTACTTGCAACTCAGGTTTCGGTATGTCTTGGATTTCAACTTCTTCCTGTCTTGGTCTCTCCTCGTCAGATGATGTAGTCCCTTTTTGTGGGCTCTGATCTTCAGCCCCTCCCACATGAGCCCCTAATTGGGGGTTGTCTCGATAACAAACTCCTTGCTGTGTCGGTTTCTGTCCCTCATGTGATGTAGTCCCTTTCTGCTTGGGCGACTCTTTAGCTCCTTCCTCTTGTACCAATGGTTGGGGTTTGTCTCGATGACGAAGTTCCTCCTGTTTTACCCTCTGTTGCTCTTCTGATGGTATCATCGAGACAAGCTTATCACGCCCGATTGTATTTAACGCATCTCTCAAACTCTGAAATCCTTCCCCGCGACTTGTTTGCTTTCTCCACCAAGAAAGCAGCATCTGTAGGCTCCTTTCTGTTTGTTCTTGGAAGGTGGTTTGGATTTGCTTGATTTCTGCTTCTGAAAATCCCATCAATTGTGCCAATTCTTCCCAGGATGATTGAATTTTCGTAGCCAAGTCCCGGAGGAATTGATAATCACCAGAGCGTTTGTCTGCCAAACAAAACATAAGTTGGAAGTTTATATGTATCTGATTGAAAGGCAATTAAGTTTAGACTTTGGTTAGCGACGTTTATAAATATCAGTGCTATTTTTTATTGAATTGTTTATCCTTTTAGAAATAAGTGGCAAATGCTGGGAAATTTTGAGACATTACAGCGGAGGAGGCGGTAAAACACATTAACTTAGATCACTCTTTAACTACAAGTAATTGTACTACAGATACTCATAATGCCAACAAGAAAAGGCTAGAGCATCCATCCTGTTTTCGTTATCGCACTTTCAAAGATAATGTTTCCCATGAGCATTTACCTGTTGGTCCACCGCCGAGTAGGCCATCAGTACACAGACGGAGTGAGATGTTCTCGTCCTGATGAATGCCGCAGTCGTGAAGTGTCAGCAAGTTACAGAGCTGAAAAAAAATTTAACGATCCTCATATAACACTGTTGGAAACCAAGGTTTAAAAAAAACCCATCTTGGTGGTTGAATAACAAAACACGAGTAAACATTTATATACATTTTCTCGCAGTGCTTTTTCATCTTAAGACATAATCAGTGGTGATAAGACCAGCAAACGCTATTGCTAAATCACCATTATACCAGCATCAGAGATAGCACTATTTTAATATACACAACTGATGTAATCTGAATTCAAAGATTGTCACTAAACCCATAATGCATGGCCTTTTATTCGATGGAATAGTAATTGGTACTTTTTAGCATGGTAAGTTTAAAATATGAATTCTTCCTTACCTCAAAATTACGAAAGTTTCTTCGGATGAGCAGACGCTGTTGTTGAGGCTGGACACTGATTTTCTCATTTATTATTTGTTTCAAGGCCGAGACAGATGTCTCTGGGTCCATTTGGAGACAAAGCGTCGACGGTTTATGACGGATGTGAAATCTGACGAATACTTGCACATGTCTGAAACTGTCAGAAAGGGCGTTTTACATGTTAAGGCTCATTTATGCTTTTCTTGTTATGCTAAATTATTAATTATTTAATTTGTCAATTCTGCAGACCATTTTTTTTCTTGCTTCTTTATTAATTTCTAGTTCCTTGCTTCACTGACATTTAGACTGTTTCTTTAGATTCGTCTTTCATGTTCATGATGGTCTAGGTTTCCTCCATGTCTTTTAGTTGTTGTTGTTGTTGATTTATGATTCATGAATAAAAAGCATGAATTAATAATTGAATTGACATAATAAAGCAAATTAATGAAGGTAAAGACCATCAACCATTATTGTAACCATTCTCTACAATATTGTTAGAGTGGTAAAATATTGTTTTCCAAGGTAGTGTATCGAAACATCGGGTATAGTGCCAGTCTAGGGTACTGGTGCCCGCGTCGGAGGTCTCCGCGCTGCTACTGTCTATGCACGCACTGCCCGCGGGTATAAAAGCGTGCGTCAGCCGCGCGCGCGATACTCACTCACTCTGGCAGTCACAAGCTGAGTCACAAGCAGAAGCGCATGACACGAGTTATTTCTAGGGTGAGTCGTCAGCCAGTTTCATGCAGGTCTGACAGCGCTGCGATTGATTATCCGCTAGCGAGTTAATCTAGAAGAGGGACCCACCGGACGGGCTGCCTTTACATCACTAGTTGGTGAGTTTACTGGCCAGGAAGAGTTAAAATAAGCAGCCAACATTGTGTCCACGTTAGAGTTAGCGATAGACGCCTATATAGGAGTCGCCTGTATAGGCGCACACAATAAAACACCATTGTTACGTTATATAAAGAGGACTGTGACTTAATCATTGTCTCCTGTGAGTTATTGGGCCTAATAGGGTGAGAGTGATTGAGTGCGAGTATCGCTGGTCCACTGCAATGCCTGGGGGTATACTTCCTCCAAACGAAGTAACGTCCCGGGTTTCCCGGTAACCGCTCATCGGGAAAGCCTAATCCTGTCAGCGTCCGTCCGGCGGCATCTCCCGGCTGGAGGCAGGGACGAAGGGTCGGCGGACCGCTACAAATTTGGTGTCAGAAGTGGGATTGGCGTTGCGGTGACATCAGTCACCATCAATCATCGATAGAGTGTGAAGGAGTACTTCACCTACCTAGGCGTCATGGCTGTCAGCCTCATTGATTTTGATGGCGATTTGTCGGAGGTCGACCAGATTGACAGCGATCTCCAGCGAGCGACCCACGAGAGAGAGAAACTCAAGGCTGAAAACTACCGGTTACAACTTCAAGTACAAAAACTACTCGAGACACTCAACATTGGACATCGGGGTTCGGTGAGGTCAGCGCCTGCCCTGCGGTCAAGAATTCCACCTACTCCAAAACCTAGAAGGAAATTTAACACATTCGCACCTCCACCTACCCCAGTGCCTACGCAACCAGCTTCATCGACGCCTACGGCTGAAACCAGCAACCTTGTAGGATGGACACCTTCCAGATGTGACAGTGAAGTTCCGCCTTCGAGTGCAATAGAAGATGTCTCTCTGCGAGTGAATCATAGCGCCAAGTTCGAAGGAGGCGAGCTGGATCCATTTGGCGTCGGGGAGAAAACCACAACGAAGGAGAAGGGCAGCTGCGAGTCGAGCACTAGTACTAGTAAGCGGCCGAACATCCTACCAGACCGATTCAACGGGAAGACTCCTTGGAGGGAGTATAAGCAGCACTTCAAGGCGTGTAAACTGGCAAATGCTTGGACCGATAGTCAAGCGAAAGTTTTTCTTGCAGTGAGTCTCCAAAGCGAGGCAGTGAAAGTGCTTGGGAACCTCGCTTCCAGCGGCAAAGACGTTACCCATACTGAGCTGATGGGTCTCCTTGAAAAGCGATTTGGCCCTGGACAATTGGCAGAAAATCACCTAGTGGAACTTCGCCACAGGCGTCAAGGAGATAAGGAGACATTGCAAGAGTTGGGACAATCCATACGTGACCTGTCGGCACTCGCCTATCCAGAATTGACAGACGACGGGCGAGATCGCCTAGCTAGGGGTCATTTTTCAGACGCAATTCGGGAGCAAGCCATCCGCGAAGGAGTGTTCAGGGCAAGACCGTCGTCACTGGATGAAGCCATCCGCGCCGCCTTAAGCACAGAGAGCTTCCTCAAGATTGAGGAACAACGGAGTGACAGACGAGTCAAGTACGCCCGAGGAGTAGACGGGATATCTAACAATCCTATGCAGGAGGTCAAGAGTGAAGAGAGTAGGAGTCAAGCAAAGGAGTCATTTATTCAGAGTGCAAGTGACCAAGAAGTTAAGGAGTGGCTCCAAAGGATGACAAAAATGCTAGAGGACATGAAGTCAAAGCGAAACCCAGAAGCGCCTAGAGGGCCGAGGATTGCTGCCAGGCGCAAGGCAACTCCCCAAGACGTGTGCTTCAAGTGCAATAACCGAGGGCATTTTGCACGGGAGTGCAGGAAGCGCGTCGGACATGACATCGACAGACAGGCGTCGGGAAACGACAGCCAGCTGGCTCCAAGGCCCGAGGGACAGCTGGAGAAATAGACGGGCCGAAACACCAGAACGGAGACAACCACGAGAGGCCATGTAGGGATGGGAGAGATGTTAAGCCTACCCTTGGCCAAAGGGCGCGCGCTGGACTATTTGTACAGTCGTTTATAAGGGGAGTCAAGGCAAACCTCTTGGTGGACACAGGTGCGACGGACACCGTCCTATCGTCAGAGTTTTACTACAAGATTCCCATTGAGAAACGACCTAAGCTGGAGAGTGGAGGTACAGGAGTTCGTAACACTGACGGTAGCAACATGGAAACTCTCGGAAGAGCCTTGGTAGAAGTGCAAATTGGAAGGACGACGTGTCCCGTTCGGGCTGTTTTCGGCAAAATAGGTGAAGTTGAAGGAATCCTGGGAATGGATTTTCTGTTGCCAACGCAGGGTTCCTTGGACTTCCACTCACTTGAACTGAAACTAAATGGGGAGAAAGTAACATGCAATGGCCTATCACGGATGCCTTGCACTCAATGTGGCCGAGAAGAGGGACAACAGGCAAAATGTCAACCGACAGACAACGATGAAGTAAAGAAAACAGAAACACCGTCGACGGTATCTCACTCGAGAGTCGTGACCGCACAACCGACCCTGAGTTCAGAAGAGATGCGGAAGGCGCAGCTGGAGGAAGAAGACCTCAGATGGGTGATAAAAGCAAAAGAAGAACATCAGCGAGAACCTGACTGGGCGGAAATGTCTGCGTTGTCGTCCAGGGCGAAGACTTATAGGCGCCACTGGGGCCAACTTGAAATCCGCAGTGGTGTTCTCTGCCGGAAATGGGAGTCAGACGACAGACGCGAGGTGAGATGGCTCACGGTGCTACCAGCGAAATACCAAGACGAAATGGTGAATCAACTACATGGCAACACATCTGGAGGACACTTGGGCGTTAGGAAAACCTTGGCTAAAGTTAAGGTGAGATTCTACTGGGCTGGAATTTCTGCAGACGTTCGGTCCATCCTCAGGCGATGTAATGTCTGCGCCCGTAAGAAATCACCAACAAAGACCAGAAGAGCTCCCCTGCAGCAAAAGATGGTTGGAGCGCCAATGGAAAGGGTCGCCTTGGACGTACTTGGTCCTTTACCGGTTACCGAGAGAGGGAACAAGTATATACTGGTGGTGGGCGATTACCTGAGTTAGTGGACAGAAGCCTACCCGATCCCGGACCAAACGGCAAAAACAGTAGCCGATAAATTCGTGAAAGAGTTTGTGAGCAGGTATGGTGTGCCCGAGATTCTACACTCCGACCAAGGTCGTAATTTTGAGTCCCAGGTCTTCGCGGAAATGTGTCGCCTGCTGGGCATCGAGAAAACGCGAACGACGCCGTACAATCCGAAGAGTGATGGGATGATTGAGAGATTCAATCGCACACTGGTCACAATGGTTTCTATGATGATAGAGCCCCACAGACGACAGCGAGATTGGGATGAAAAGATTCCACTGGCAACGTTTGCCTATCGTGCCTCACCACAGGAATCAACAGGTGAATCGCCTAATATGCTGATGCTCGGACGTGAGGTGCGCCTTCCCATCGACTTGGCTGTTGAACAACCCCGTGATGACCAACAAGAGGTTGAAGGCGAAGAGACTGACTATGCGCAACAACTGAGGGAGCAGTTCAGACTTGCGCACGGTAGGGCACGTAAGTGTCTGAAGCGGAGCGCCAGAAGGCAGAAGACTCATTACGACAGACGATCTGTGAAGTATAACTTGGTGGCTGGAGATTTCGTGTGGCTGCACAATCCGGCCAAGAGGAAAGGCTTGTCGCCTAAATTGCAGTGCCGATGGGAGGGTCCGTATCTCATCGTGCACAAGCTGTCCGATGTCATCTTCCGAATTCAACGTAAAAAGGGTGGAAAGATGAAAGTTGTGCATCGGGACCGCTTGAAGTCCTACATAGGAAATCCCCTAGTCTCATGGATTGAGAACACAACAGAAGCCAATGCAGATAATACTAGCCAACAGCAGATAACCAGCGTTCCAGCACAAGCGGAAGACAATTCCAGCGGGCAAATAGAGACGCCTACGACAGGGAGGCGAATTCCAAACCCAACCGCCCGTTCTTTCACCCCCAGAGTGTCACCAGAGGGCAATCACCCTACCCAGGAGACACCATCGATTGTGATTCCAAGTCCCAAAACCCCATTGAGGCCTGAAAACTCGGACGGGCAAACATGCCATACTGAGACCCCATTACCGCGTCGGAATCCCCCCAGGCATCGCAGGGTGCCCCAGAGATATCGCTAGATGTGAGAGATTGTTGTGAGAGCGAGAGAAGGTGAAACACACATTAATGAAATGCACCACTTTTGCATTTTCCCTACAGAGTCTGTACATACTCGCCATGGGCCGAGACAGTCAAGAGAAGTCCAGAGATGAGGTGGACCAGGACCATACTAGGTGCCCCAAGTGCCACGTGAGACTTCACAAGAGAAGCCTAGAACGCCACCTAATTACCGAGCATGGGCCGCGATTGTACTACTGGTGTAGGCGCTGCGCCCACAAGAACAATCGCCGGGACAATTTGAAGGCGCACTACCGCGACTGTCACCCCGACCGCATGGATGAAGTGGGCGAGATAAAGGGCGAGTCTCACGAGACCCGCGAAGACAGACGCCGAAGGGAAAGCAATGCCGAATCCAAGGACAAGGCCACATCGGACAAGAAACGCAAGTATGAACAGGCAGAGGACTTTCCCGGTAAAAATCGTGGCAAGGCTACGAAGAAGGCGAAGACTCCACAAAGCACGGTATCGAAGGCGCCAGCTGACGATGTACAGCCAAAGCTAGGCGAGGCTACGAAGAAGGCGAATACTCCACCTAGCACGGTATCGAAGGCGCCAGCTGACGAAGTAGGGCCAAAGCTAGGCGAGGCGACGCTTCACCCATTGGAGAAAGTGCATGGAGAGCCTGCAGGGCAGGGCTCTTCCCAGCCAGAGTTTGATGCGGGACCGCTCCTAGCAAGTGAGGACATCCTCGAGATAGCGGTTTCGCCTACCTTATCCATGCTGTGGGACAGCATGCCGGAGGAAAATACGCCTAAGCCACAGACAGGAGGGAAACCTTTGAGCCTGGTCCGGCAACTGCAGCAGGGCCCCGATGATGTCGAGTCGATGTGTAGCACTGCCACTAAACCAGAGGAGCCGATACAGCAACCAGGAGAGATACCCCTTGGGAAGTTCTTTGCCGGGCAAGTCGTGAGGATCACCGAGAAGGAGAAGACAGATACTTACCTTGGTGAGATGCATACCCTGCACGATTCTGCATCCCGTCACTACGATGTAGTCGTACTGAGAGAGGCTAGCGAGCCTGAGAAGGCGGGCCACACTTTTGAGTCGCCACCCCCGGTGAAGATTCGTAGGATCATCGTGGATAAGGACTCGAGGTCAGAAGGCGTGGGACCCTCCATGAACAACGCACAACTGGAAGGCTCGATGATTGGCAACGTAACAAAGATCACCGAGAGGAAGACCCGTAGTCTGTACCATGGAGGACTGTTGGTTACCCGAGAGGAAACCGAGCGCGTCTTTGATGTTAATTTTAAAGCTGGGTTCTAAGTTCACATGTTAACAGAAACCAGGAGTTCCACCTTAGACGCCTTTACATCTTTTTAAGTTAACAAGTTAACAGAAACCAGGAGTTTCACCTAAAACGCCTTACACCTTATACACCTTGAAGTTTGCAAGTTGTTTAATTAAGTTTACCGATTAAGCTTAGGAGTTGTTTAAACTTAGTGTTTACATGTTACCTTTATTGAGGCCATAAGTTTAAGAAGTGTTTATAAAAGTCGAACAGTTTGAAGTTTAATGTTTATTGAAGTTATGCTGTATAGCTAGGAACCTATCTAGGACAAGGAAGTCCAGTAGAGATCACCTTATGTCAAAATTTAAGAGACTTTAGGTGGACCAATGTTTCTTTTATTTATTTTTGTATAAGTTTATTGGTCAAAGGGACTGACCAAACTTAAGGCGAAGCTGTGTAACGAAACATTGGGTATAGTGCCAGTCTAGGGTACTGGTGCCCGCGTCGGTGGTCTCCGCGCTGCTACTGTCTATGCACGCACTGCCCGCGGGTATAAAAGCGTGCGTCAGCCGCGCGCGCGATACTCACTCACTCTGGCAGTCACAAGCTGAGTCACAAGCAGAAGCGCATGACACGAGTTATTTCTAGGGTGAGTCGTCAGCCAGTTTCATGCAGGTCTGACAGCGCTGCGATTGATTATCCGCTAGCGAGTTAATCTAGAAGAGGGACCCACCGGACGGGCTGCCTTTACATCACTAGTTGGTGAGTTTACTGGCCAGGAAGAGTTAAAATAAGTAGCCAACATTGTGTCCACGTTAGAGTTAGCGATAGACGCCTATATAGGAGTCGCCTGTATAGGCGCACACAATAAAACACCATTGTTACGTTATATAAAGAGGACTGTGACTTAATCATTGTCTCCTGTGAGTTATTGGGCCTAATAGGGTGAGAGTGATTGAGTGCGAGTATCGCTGGTCCACTGCAATGCCTGGGGGTATACTTCCTCCAAACGAAGTAACGTCCCGGGTTTCCCGGTAACCGCTCATCGGGAAAGCCTAATCCTGTCAGCGTCCGTCCGGCGGCATCTCCCGGCTGGCGGCAGGGACGAAGGGTCGGCGGACCGCTACAGTAGTTTGATTGTCCACAAAACGCGCGATGCGTAGGTAATTCTTTAAACACGAGGTGCATGACGAATAGCAGCGTTTACTTATGTCTTACCAGATAAGTTGAAGTTTGTCTTGATCACAAGCTTGTTCCTTTTTCAGTTTCTCTTCCTCGGTTGATGCATTCCCGTTTTGTTTGCTCTCCTCGTCAGCTCCTGTACCTCGACGCCTTTCTGGCTCGGGTCCGGCTGCTTCGTGTCTCGATTTGCTTGCCACTGATGCAAGTTGGAAAACAGAATACATTACAATGTTATTGTTTACCAATCGTTTAAAAAATGATGTTTCTGTTTTTATTTTCAATTAACTAGGCGATGTATCTAAAATTTCTTATTTGTATAAAGTGTTTTGTAAGAGAACGAGGTACCATATCATCCCAGCCCCGAAAATAGAGCGTCTAATGGCTATGCCAAAATCACTCTTGAATATGAGAATCTGCTTGCTCACATTTAAGCTCAGCTGGTACATTTTGAGCCAAATCAGTCAACCCGATGGCCTCCAATGCTCGTTTCAGCTTCTGAGCTGCTTCATCGCGTTCTGTCGTCTTTTTCCACCAAGTGAGTAGCATGTGACGGCTCTCTTCAGTGCTGCCTTCGTTGGTGGTTTGGATGTCTGCAATTTCTGCTTCTTCATATCCCAAGTGTTTTGCCAATTCCTTCCATGATGATTCAGTTTTCGAGGACAAGTCCTGGAGGTACTCTTCATCAATGTTGGTTTTATCTGCCAAGACATTTAAACTTCAGTTAAACATTTTGAAATCCAACCATCACTGTATCAAATATCAACGGCAATTACAACAAAAATAGACTCTTGATCCTTATTTAAAACCCAAATTTAGATTGTTTATTTACCTTTGTTTCTAACCTCTATAATTTACCTTTTGGCTCCTCGTCATCATTTGGGTCTTCTTTTGACAGCCGGAGAGAGATGATTTCATCCTTGTCGACACCATTTTCCTCAAGTGTGAGTAAGTCACAGAGCTAACACAGTAATTTATATCAGAAATTAAGTTACATCATCAGGAAAAAAAGAAAGAAAGGAATTTAGTTGTGCGTTGTTCAAACATCTAACAAATGACGTTCCTTTAAGCCTGAGTTGGAAGAAATGGGTTGTGATGGGGGATCTCATAAACAAACAACTAAAGATATCAACGTGAAAATGTGAGATTTTGCAGTCAACATTACCATTTCTAAAATCCGACAATGCGAACTACTAGGTTTGGATATTTAAAATTGAACCAAGTATTATAAATTAAATTATAACTACCTGGAAGTTTCTCCTGATGTACAGACGCTGATATCGTGCCTCGACACCGATCTTCTTCTGTATTGTTTCTTTGAGAGATGAGACGGATGTCTCGGGATGGAGTTCGAAATAAAGTGTCTTGGGTTTGTGTGAGGGGGGAGTCCGGACAAAGACCTGCAGTTTCTGTTTGACGTCTTTGGTATTACTGTGAAAATAGGGGAGAAAATGTATGTAGTTTAAGAAATGCATTAGTTCACAATAGAACAAGATCAGTGCACAATTAGTGTGGAAACTACACTCGAATTAGAGGCCATCGTCACTTTCGTGAGTCTAATAAAAGTGTTCCTCAAGTTCGCTCAACTTTTAAAAAGTATCTGTAAAGAGTAAAAGATTAAATGTTTTCTTCGAAATCGAGATAACCTTAAGCTTCATCTTAATTGAATAATTGTCATTGTATTTTTTTACCTCTGACTTTCATATTTAATCCATCGTGTCGTTGGTCTCCTCTTTGCACAGCAATTATCCGAAGACGTTTTCCTGTAATGCAGTACAGAAAGGAAAGCTTGTTTCCTCCTTGGTTTGACTTTAGTCTTCCTGCTGATGAGTTTGGTGTTGGAGTGGTCGTACACGACGGCAGTTGCTTTCATGTATGCATCCAATTGCTGGATGGTCTTCGAAGGCATCTTGGTAGTTATCAGGTCGAATTAAAGTACGGTTACTGAAAGAGCAAAAACAAAATAAAGAAAAGTCGTTGTTAAAACTAGTGCACAACCATAAGCCTATCAAACTAATAGACGTCATGGATAAAGTCATCATCTGTAGTCACGTGATAATCTCCAGTGGCCTATCAACAGAAACCTTTAGACTTCTTTAGGACTCTTAAACTACTTCTCATACCAGATTTATTAAGTTGATGTGACAAATAATTTTACAGACTGACATTCTTCTGAAACCATATCTCGGGTTTTTTTTTTATTTCTGTTTGTTTTAACAATAACAAGATTGATCATTAAACTATGATGTCCAAAACAACTACTGAGGGACCCTAAGAGAAATTCCAAAACCCATCAGTTTGACCGTCTGAACATGAATTAAAAAAAAGAAATCGAATTTGTGATTCGTTTCTTTTAAATTATTAATAGATTAAAACAAAATGCATTTGATTTTTTATTTACTTGTGGTTGACATTATTCAAAGTTCTGCATTTGTTGGAGTATTTGAAGTCGCGGATAGTAGTGCAACCCGTCTGTCCAGGTAAAACCACGCCCCCCTATTTACCTGGACCCGGGCCTCTCGACCAATCAGAACACCGCATTTAGCT